ATGATCGTATCAACAGACAAAGAACCCATCACAAGGAAACAACCAACCCACTTCGTACTCCACTTCGTACCCAACCCACTTCGTACTCAACCCCCTTCGTACCGAACCCACTTCGTACTCATCCCACTTCGTGCTCAGCCCACTTCATACTCAACCCACTTCGTACCCAACCCACTTCGTACTCAACACACTTCGTACTCAACCCACTTCCTACCCAACCCACTTCGTACACAACCCACTTCGTACTCAGCCCACTTCGAACTCAGCTCACTTCATACTCAGCCCACTTCGTACTCATCCCACTTCGTACTCAACCCACTTCGTACTAAGCCCACTTCGTACTCAACCCACTTCGTACTCAGCTCACTTCGTACTCAGCCCACCTCGTACTCAACCCACTTCTTACCCAACCCCCTTTGTACACAACCTACTTCACACTCAACCCACTTCGTACTCAGCCCACTTCGTACTCAGCCCACTTCGTACTTAACCCACTTCGTACTCAGCCCACTTCGTACTCAACCCACTTCGTACTCAGCCCACTTCGCACTCAACCCACTTCGCACTCAACCCACTTCGTACCCAACCCCCTTCGTACTCAACCCACTTTGTACTCAACCCACTTCGTACTCAACAAGTGAAACACGATCACGAGTGAAAAAAAAAACGTCTCAGATTATTAAGATGTCCTGAAGCGACACCAGTTAATTTATTAGGTTAGGTTAGGTTAGGTTAGTTTAGGTACTTAATAAAAACGAATTTTCGCGACGCCATTAACACACAGGCTTTATAATTAATTCCCCTGATAGATGTTAATTATAGTGACCGTGTGACCCTGTGACCCTGAATCCAAGTAGTTTTAACCTTGCATAATATTTAATTGGTGATGGAGTAGTGTAATTATTAGACTTGTTATTAGTGTTTAAAGATCCTTAGTTGTTGAAGCGTTGTAATAACATGTTAAGGTCAAGGAGACGAGGTATTGTAAGGAGCCTTCATATATTTCCTCAGTGGGACGAGATGTGGTGACGTAGTTAATTTTCTATTAAGTGCTGGCAATAAAAACAACCGGATGTCCCTACTTAGCGGAGAGAGAGAGAGAGAGAGAGAGAGAGAGAGTAAATTATCGTCTATGTATCCTTCAATTCCATTAAAAACTGGAAATATTTCTCTGAGACAAAATATAAGTATGACCACACACACCAGGTTATAGATACCATTAACGTCACAATATGTTTATCCAGCCCCACATGGTTGATATCTCACCTTGGCTTCATAAAAAATTCAGGGTTTAAGGTGATAATTTCAGGGTTCACAGGTGTCACGATGCTTGTTACTGATGGTGGTTGTTCGTAATCCCACCAGCTAACTCCTTGTTATGAAACGGTGTGGTGGCTACTTATAATTAGTGTGTTATCTTCAGCACTACTTTAAAGATCAGAGGGTTATGGATAGATCCTTTAAGTGTGTGTGTGTGTGTGTGTGTGTGTGTGTGTGTGTGTGTGTGTGTGTGTGTTAGGTACCATCTTTAGTGTGATTTTCAGTGAAGAAAACAGTTACAAAAGATTATTTTTCTTCACCTCAGTAAAGTAACATAATAATGGGTCGGAGAGCACCAGCCAGAGTGACTCACCAAAGTGTTAAGGGAATAAAGTTTAGTCACGCCTCAGTTAAGACGCCCAGGAACACGATTGACCAATAAACTGGTTCTTTGTATACTGTAATATATTTATCTGATAAGGTGAGTCAGTATACGAGCCTCACTAATGTCGCCACGCTCGTTATCAACTTAAGTCACGTGATAAGTGGCAGTTATGGGTACACAGTTTTATAAGGTTCACGACTGTGTGTCTCATCCCCAGGCGACGGCCACACTGAGACGCGACTCTGTTAAATATATTGATAAAATATCGGTATTGTGCGAGGTGTGTAATTCTATGTCTGCAAATATCTACTCCAAGTGACAAACTCGATCACCTGCTCTGATGCCAAGCGTGACGTTACAAAGTTTACACCGCAACTTTTGTGCAGACTTAACTATAATTTCTGGTGCATGAATTTTGAAGCAAACTTTATTATATTTGTTAATGATAGATATAAGTGAGAATATTCGGTTATCGGCTGTAGCGTGGACTTAATTATTGATTAAAATGATAAACATGGAGTTCGAAGGTGATCAACTAGATGATCAAGCCAGTGATAACAACATCACAGCCAAGACACATAAGGGTCCATGTCCCTTGGAACAAGAAAACAAGAAAATATTCAAATTATTCAAGATCTTGGGAGTGATCCTTATAAGGTGGGATAAGCATAAAAAAGAGTATGTCCTGCTGAAAGTCAGATTCTTTATTTCTTACACTTTCTGGTTCTTCTGGCCTCTGTTAGGCCTGTGTGTGGCGCTGGTGATGAAGAGGATCTTTAAGACAAGCGGTGGTGCTGACCACATAAACGACGCCATTGAATCGTCTTTGTTTGTACTTGGCTTCGCTGTTGTCCCTGCCATCAAGACCTACTCCCTCAGCCTCATCAACACATGCCTTCTAGGCATAATGAAAAAGACAGTAAGTCTCAAAGAGATCAAAGACAAATTTGAGAAGCGCAACGATGATGAATATTTGCCGTCTGACACTGACAAGGAGGCTTTCCAAGATAATAGTAAGCTCCGCAGGGCGCTTCCTATAATGTCAGTCATCTTGTCCACCATCTCCTTTCTCGGCGTCTGGATTTATGACATGATACAAGTGGTTGAGTGGGATGAACTCAAGAGGGAGTGGCCATTCTTCTTCATGCAATTCAACTACCTGACTCTGCCTTGTATAACTACTTTGTTTTCAGTCATATTTATTGATTGGCTACGAAAGTTGTACAAGATAATGCGAGAGAAGTTAGAGGAGCTTGTGAGGGGACAGAAGACAACAGTAGACGTACAGGTCATCCAAGACATCGGTGATTATGTTAAAAAACTGCAAGACATCTTCAGCCGATTGAGCAGCGGCTTTTTGACCTACGTCTTAGGTTTTAACTTCTTGGTCTCGGTAGTGGGCGGCATCTTCTGCACCGCCAAGGTCCTCCAAGGGTTCCCTAATATTATATACCTCGTGCCATTAACAATTGCAGTCTTCCACATTGGGTTAATTTGTCACAAATCACAAGAGCTGATGGATGAGGTAAGTTTAAGTCTCTCTCTCCTCTGCATTCGGATATAAAATGAATCAAGGTAAAACAAAAATAAGACTGGGACTTCCTATCCCTGCTGTTTATTAGCTAGTAACTATACAGTCCAGTCACGGTTTAAAGTAAAGCCTAACACTAACTGACAATAAATTGCGTAAAATATCTTTGGTACAGTCATTGGTACAGTCACTTCTCCTGCCTCCCTCTCTCACACACACACACAAACACTAACTTCCCTCACATCTGCCCTACAGCACGAGAGAATAATCCTGCTCCTGAAACAGCTATTTAGGAAGAGTCGCAAGAACCCCAAGCCGTTGCCCTACGACGAGCTACACATCCTCCTGGAGAACCTGCTGGAGAAAATGCTGGAGTCACCGCCGCAGGTGGCAACTTTTGGCAATTACAAGGTCGGAAATGGCTTGCTGCTCGCCACCCTTGGCTTCATCATCTCTTATGCTATGCTCGCCAATGATGTTCTTCAACTTCAGGACCAAGTGTCATCTTTGCACTGCAACTTTACACTAACAGAGTAGAGGGTGCAAACCAACAATTCTTGATGTTTAACAGAAGAAATAACACAACTTTCACACAGGCCCTGGCAGTGTACAGATGTGTTTTGTGGTCAGGTTTATTGAATTCATTGATTCTGAGTAAACACAGGCAGATATATTTTTTTAAGATACAGTATGCATAGTGATGTAGAGTAATGTATAATATATTTGTCAAGAAGGAGTAGCATTAACTGTGAACAAAGTAACATTGTATACATGTATAAGTTTGATCATTGTTTTAAATAATGTTTGGGGAACCTAACATCAGCAGTATTCCCCTTCATATACTGTAGATACCTTTTTAGATCAGTGTTTATCTTTTATTGTCTACAAATCTGATGTACTTGGGTTCTGTGAGACCAAAATTACTAACGATATTGAACATTTGTAAAACTTTCCTAATTATAATAAACAATGCGTCAACATCTCACGGCACAGTGGTGGTGTCGCACTATATGTTGATATCAAGTATAACACTTCTGTAAGAGATGATTTAAAGGTTCAGGAGGAGTACATGGAGAGTGTTTTCACGGAATTACGTAACGACACACAAAATATCCTAGCAGGAATAATCTACGAAAGACCCAAACACTAATGTAAAGAACTTTCTTGATAAATTTTTGGAGCTTATCTCTATCATAAGTTCTGAAAGGAAACTTTGATACATTACAGGAGATTTCAACCTTGATCTACTAAAATCAGAAACCAACACCTCAGTATTAGACCTTCTTGCAACCTGTCATTCTAAGCTCTTTTTCAACACTATAACCAAACCCACTAGAGTAACTGCTGTAATGACCACGGTCATACACGTCAGTTAAAGTAAAATCAGACGATTCATATTACGCTCAATAGCCCACAAAACACGTAGCTCTGCTTTCCTTTGAGTCCCCCATCTGAGGAGTCCGTTTTCTCATCGCTTCAGGACGCCTGAGCCCTCCGTTATCTCATTTTCTCTGACTTCCTGAAATCAACCTCTCTATAAAGTGAATTTGAATGTAAGAGAGAACACCAGTGTTTTGAGTCAACTTAGATATGTTTGATTACAGTTAAGGCATTCAAGATCCTTTGTGAGTGATGTTGAAAGCTTCAACTGTCTTTGTTATTAGTAACACTTGTCAAGTAAGTGAGAGTCGAGTCTGCCTGTACAAACGACATGATATTGTCCTTAAGAATAGCCATGAGTTTCCAAATGCTACTGAAGTTAGATTATTTTGATGCCCAAACATCAGAGAATTGGATGTTTGTAGTTTAGTTAGTGTCAGTTGTCTATTTTAGAAAGTCATCAATCTCCTGAGAAGAACATGTCAAACTCCTAATCTCCAAAATCTAACGTATCCCCTTGAATAGTTCCTTGTTCATAGCCACGCTGAGTTTGTGAAATTAATGTTTTCAACGTGTGTAATTCCACCTTTTCCTGGCAAGCTCAATCTCCGATAAGATTATATGAATAGACGTAGGAAATTCGCAGGGCCAGTGGCAATTGGGTGTCATATTTGAATGTGCAACAAATGATTTGAATGTAATTTCTGTCATTGCGTGACTGGCCTTTCTGGCATATGTTCTGCACAGGCCTGAACTGTCAGTTCGCCGTATATAAGCCCGACACGGAGGAGAGCGCCATTTCTCTGACGCTCTCCATCATTATCTCAGGTATGTGTACGATTCTCCGCCCGCCATATTAAGTCAGTTTAACTCAGTAAATTTTGTGAATATCAATGTTCATGTTGTAACAGTGAAATTGTCATTTACCCAGTGAAAGAATTAATATAACGTAAATGTTGTCTGTCGTTGCTAGACAAAAGATTGTTTGTGTTTGAGTTTTTTTTTCTCTGACGCTCTCCATCATTGTCTCAGGCCCAGTGTGTGTTAGCTGAATACCCAGCAGTTACCGGGGATCGATAGCTGTATACCAGCTGGCTGTATTAGAAGGTGTCGTTAATTTGGCAGGATTAAATTGTGCGAGTCCGCATCCTGGGAACTAGGCTGAACTCCCTGGCCGTGTGTCGGACTACAACAGAACCTTAACAGCGTTCTTCGTTTGTTGTTACACCCTGGGGCATTCCTTACAGTTATATGGGCCAAAGTATTATTGTATCTATGGTTGGGGATTAACTAGCAGAAATATAGTTATCCCAGGTTAAGTAGTGAACCCATAAATATTGATAGTACCTGTACCAGTAAATATGTATGTGAGTTGAGTACATCAACTGACGGGAAAGTGCCATGTTATTCATGCCAGAAGAATATGATGTTATAAGTTAATTTGGGATATTGTCAAGTGTGTCATATAACCCTCTGTATTGACAATGGAATAATATAATAATTGTTTAATGATGTAATAAGTAATTGAAGATCTATTTTATGAATGGTAAAGTAAGATTAAGTGGTCCATTCTTGTCTGAGTGAACTTAATTAACATCTTATTTACTCCTGCTGTTAATAAATATTAAATTAGTAAACTACGAGTATCACCGATTATTCCTTCTACCCATTGGTTCTCAGAAAATAACTTTATTAACTCACGTGCCTAGAAGCTAACTAGCACGCTACCAAACAATTCACTGAGATATGTTATATTCTAATAAAAGTCTGGGAGGTGGCAGGCTACCGTTGTAAGTATAATAATTATTATAGTAAGAATTACATGGTTTCCCAGATTAATCCATGGTTTGGAATATAACTAGAACAAAATAGACTTGAGAGAAATTAAGGACATGAAATTCAGAAAATACAATATTATACTGTATATGAAAAGAAATAAAGAAAAGAAAAGAATACTGACTTAGAAAATATAAGCCGTTACGCCGTCTCTTAATTTATTTTAATATCCAGGTTCGAGGCATAACCAAACAAAAAAAGTGAAGTAAATTAAAAGGGAATTAAAAATAGATAAAGTAAACCTTTAAGAATTTTATAAATTAAATATTAACACAATAAAGAGCCTCGTAGGCTGTCACAGCAAATTGATTCACTATCGAAACTTTAAAGACACAAATGATACTAAAACATCGAAACATCAAAAGAACTGCTTAAATATATAGAATAAAAATAAAGCACTGGATTAAGTTAACACTGCATATACATATAAAAACTAACACTGAAATTAATTATCGTGAACAACACTGAATTACTTAAATGTAACCAAGCAAGCACTGATGGACACATAAGAGACATGAATAGGTACTCACATAGATATACCACATTGGTGGCGACAGGAACAACACAAATAAAATAAGTATAAGTAACAGGTGACGGGTGTCACTCAAAAGAACGTGAACTGAATGACAAGGAGGACTGGACTAAACTCCATCTACAGGTGGACTACTATATATAGGGTCGACTCTGGCGCCAGTGCGACCAGCAGGTGAAACATGGGTCGTTTAACGATGCAGATGGTCGTTAGAGAAACAAAGAATGCTTGTTACAATACTAAATGAAGAAATAAGATGGGCTTGAACAAATAATAACAGTTAAAATCTTAACAGCACAGGGTAAGGTGACTAGATTATAAAATAGTAATTATAACACATCATTACAGGAATAATATGGAACAACATGGAAGCATGTTATTTAAAAAAATAGAAAAATACGACACGGTCGTAACAAAGCCAAGAAATATAAGACATACTTGTAGAAAGAAAGACATAGAACAGGAAAGTATTAAACTATATACACCAGAGAACATTAATAAAAAAATAGACATGAGCAAGAAAATAAATAAATAAGAATACAGGTATAAGAGAGAAGAATGTAAAAAATAAATATATTGAAGAATAAAAAGAATAAGTATGAAGTAAGGAAAGTCGCGCCCTTACACTGGCTCGTCGCCGAGGAGACACGACCCAGCCTTCACCACAGATGTTACTTTACCCCACTGTTCTATTCCTTCTCTGGTTGTGTACTCATTGGAGGTTTCTGGGGCACATGGGCTGATTCTCTGATCCTCCACTATTCGACTGTTAACTACTGCCACGTGATCACTTCCACCACGCCTTACCCACCATCTGTGCCCTGGCGTCTCTTTTGTGTGGCAAGACATCGCCCACCAACGCCAAGTGAGGAAGCTGCCCTGGACCTCCCCCCCCCCCGAGAGCGGACGCCTGAGAGTTTTGGAGGCGAGCCCGACTGCTTCACTCGGACTTCACCCTGATAAGGGGCGGATCACCTCATTACCAGAATATTCTACAGTGCTGGTTAGAGGGAAATAACTGTACTTTGTTTCATTGATTATGCTTTGTTTTAGTAATTGTGTTTGACTCCAGTGCTGCTTATTTAATGTCTGTGGGAGTGGTGACAGAGTTAAACTTTTGTGATTATTTCTTAGTAAAGAGATGTCCTCTCTTCAGGTTGTTTATTACCCCTTGGAGACCCATGGTTCTGGACTTTCCTTTGATGAGATCCTGATCAGGTTAGCAAGGGATTTATATCCTACAGGCCAGGCCTTAACAAGTGGCAACCTTGCCAGGATAGTCTCTAACCTTGGTTTCTGAGGGTTGATATTCGTTACTCATCATTACCGGTGATTGTTCTAAGTCGCTGTGTGCACACCGCTTGCTGTCTGAGGACCAGAAGTAAGTGGTGCTTGGTGTTCATCCCTTCCTTCTGTTGTGCTAATTTCGTTGCTCTCTCTCATACTAGGGGAGTCAATTAGTGTTAGTTGGGGTGCACTGTTGATGCTGCCATAGCATTTTGTTGTTGATTCACCTGGCAAGGATGTATTCCCTGAGGTGATTTAACTGGGCTGGGTGTGAAACATGGTCTCCTCCGGCCGGATCGAATCTTTAATGGTTTGAGTAAGCCACTTAGTACTGTAGGTACTTTTGGCTAGTTTGCAGGGTAAAGTTGTTTATTTTGTTTCACTTTGGATCATTGCCCTTTTGTGTTATCATTATGTCTAGTTTTGAGGAGTTGAAAGATCAAGCGTAGCACATGAGCCTGACAGGTGCGGAGGTTAGTCGGTATGATCTTTCTTATAAGTCTTTCATTCCCCAAGCATCTGAGTATACTGGACCCTTATCTGACCTACTAAGGAAAGGCCACCGGGAGCCTCTTGTCTGGAGCGACAGCCTGCTGGCCAGTTTTAATCATCTCAAAGATTTCGTCCACCCAGCCTATTCTTAAGTTACCCGATTACCGCTTTACATTCGTTCTTAGGACGAACGCTTCCAGTCATGGCTTCGGTGCCGTTCTCTTCCAATATGTTCAGGCCTGTCCTCATCCAGTAGCGTAAGCCAGCAGGAAGTTACTAGACAGGGAGAGGCGGTACTCCACCATTGAACAAGAGTGCCTAGCTATTTTG